CGCCGCCTGCGCGGCCTCAGAGAGTCGGGGCTCAGGCCCTCCTTCCTGCCCGCTCTGCATTTCCTCTTGCGCTTCCTGGTGTCCGTGGCGTCGCTGCAGATGGTGCTGTCGGTCCCAGAGTCCGAGGAGAAACAGGGGAAGGTGGTTTTGGAGCTTCCTGCAGTCCCCGGTGCTTCCACATCCTCAGAGCTTCTCTCCTCTCTTTTCCCCCCCATTTCAGATTCCGTTTCCTTGAAATCATCCACCTGTTTTAATCTCTTGAAAGAAGCTCTGGGTTTTTTATTTGCTGCTACTCTGGTATTTTTAGTTTCAAGTTTAGCCAAGTCAGAATCTACCTCCTCTTCGGAGTTACTCGTACAATGGTTGTGGGCTGAAGCTGCCTGCCTAGAAATTCCCCAGTTTCCCCCATTTTCTACCCTGTGGTTTGTGGAATTCTCCTCTGAGGAGTCGTAGTCAAAGTTATTCAGAGCTGCAGCACAGAGGGGTTCGTGTGGCTGCACGTGGTTATCACTCTGCCTCTGAGTCTCTGTCTCCGAGTCAGTCCTTTCATTCTCAGACTCAATAATATATTTCCTTTTAGAAACAGAAGATTCAGAGCAGGAAAGCTTTTTCCTACCACAAACCTGCTCACTCTCATTTTCAGACTTGGAACAAGCCTCCACCTCCGAGCTGTTGAACAGCTTCTTCCTGCAGGCTGAGGACACGCTGCCCTGGAGCTGCTTGCGGTTTTTCCTGGCTGGGTAAACACTTTCTGAGCTGGATAATTCCTCCTTGGCATCGCTCATGATCCTGATCTTGCTGGCTGCCAGCGTGGCACACCTGCGCGGGTTCTTCTTCTCCCCCAGGCCGCACACCCTGATGTGCTTCTTGTAGTTGATGATGCACGTCCTGTTCCTCAGCACCTTGGCGCCCGGGCTGGCCTCCTCTGATGCTTGCTCTACAAAAGGAAGATGGAAAAGTTCTTTTTAGTGTTTTACAGTCCTGAAATTATTAGTTTATTATGGCCAAACGCCGCCACTTTGAATGAAATTCACAAATATTGAATTTCAACTGTTAAGGGAAATTTATCTCAATTCTTTACTAAAAATACCAGCAGTATCCCAGGGATACTTTTAACTCTTGAGATTGTCACTTTTAAAACTTTTCATGGTCTCTAAAGAGCTTTCTTTAGCATCACCCTGTTAATTAGTTCATAAATTATAAATTCTCTCACTTACCTGTCATATTACTAATACTTGTATCATTAAAAGCTGTATTTTTCTTACTAGAGGTAGATAGAAGGTAGATACAATGTCCAGATAAAAAGGTAGATAGAAGACTAGATAAGAGGTCTAAAATGTGTAATTAACATTCCAACTCTTACTCTAGTAAAAGTTGGAATGTTAATTACACATTTTAGACCTTTTATCCTAAAAAAGAAACTGTAATATTTCATGTGGATGCAAATTTCATGTGGATTTCAAATTTTAATTTTAGATGGTTTCAGGTGGAGAACATTAAAACCCTTCAGCTCCTTAGTGACTTTAACAATCAAATTGCTGCTAACAGTGAATCTTCCATTCAGTGTTTTTAGAATGAATATAGAACTTGCTTATGCTGTGTTTTAAAATAAATATTCCACGTGTAAATCATGTGCTATATGGAGATCAGTGTCTCCCTTCTAAATAAGACAATTCATACATATAAATTTTAAAAAAAGTTCTTGAAGTAAATTTAAAAATATAAACAGAGGGAAAAATTATGAGGCATAAATTCAAATGTCCAGCTTGAGTACCAATATTAACAATCTCTTCATATACCAAATCTGGTCCTTATTTAAATGTAGATTCTTTTAAGTACTACTCCAGCATTTTCCTATTTTTACATTTTCAAAGGATAATTAATTTCTTTTCTTTGTTACAAGCTTCCAGAAATGATACATGAATATTACTATGTGTAGTAGTTGTGTTGTGTGATTTTATAGCCAAAGCACAACACATTTCTGCTGCACACTGCAAAATGCTGGATGAAAGGTTAATTAATCCATAGACTAAAAAGAAGAGTTAGATCTTATATTATACACTGTCCTCCAATATTATGAAGCAGCTGGAACACAAAGGTAAAGAATAAAGTCCAGCCTTTCTGCAACACAGCCAGAATATTGAAATTACACTTTGTATACAAGATCCTACATTTGGAACAAGTCTATAATAAAAAGTATTGAAATTCCCCCCTGAAGATCCAGAAATAAAAGCTGCAAAGGTTCAAGCAGGTGGCACAGGCAGAAGGAGGGAGCTTCACCCCAAGTACCCCCAGAACTGGAGGAGCTTTTAAAAGCCACAAAGATGTGAAAGTTTGGTTGGTCAGGGTGTCCTGGAGCTCAGGCCAAACTCCAAACCTGGAATATTGGGCAGGAAAATCCAGCCTGAGCTCCAACCAGCTCAGCTGCAGGGGGCACCACAGCCCACAAGGGATTGGCACAATTGATGTGAAAACTCTGCCTTCAATCTTCTCTGATATATAAAATAAAATCCCATGCTAAACACTACCTACCTGTAATATATATTATATATAACGTAATATACATTACAGAACTACATACAGACTGTTTTACATATCAAAACACATTATGCATTTTTTATATTTTATATATATATTAAAAATAACCAAAGCAAAGCTTCCACATAAATTGTTTAGCTGGCTAATTGAGCAGTGTGTTACATATACAGTTACAGTTATATATATATATATAAAAAATACATATTTGAAAAACAGAACTTTACAAATATGCCCCTATAAACGTATTAAATATAAGATCTTGGGACAAAACAAGTAAATATTCCTTGTGGAAAACTGTCAAGACAGAGTCATCTTAACAGACATAGTAATTAATTAAAAAACCAATCATTTTCTTAAGATTCTTAAAGTATATTGACAGGATGGGAAGGATTGCACCAAACACCAACCTCTGAATAGTCTTTCAAATTCCAAATCAGGATTAATTCCCTGATTATACGAAGGCACAATGTACATGACTTGGTTTAATAAACATCAGCATCATTCTCATAAGTTTAAAAAACAAAAACCCAAACCAAACCAACTCTATAAATCATGATCAGCCACCACACAAAGGTCTGAGTGACAGATAAAATTACAGAATAAAACACAAAAATAAAGGAATTTCACTTTCTGAAACAGGTGGAATATAAATCTTATTTCTGCCAAGTGCCTGTCTGTGTTAAGGACTCTACACATCATTGATAAAATAAAATCTCAAAGTCAAATCAAATTTCAGGTTCCTGTGCACACCATGGATGTGAGAATAATTTAAACACCTTTCCATCAAATTTATTTTGGAAAATGATCAATAAAGTTACTCCAAATTGAAACGAAGAGTTGTAAATCTGCTGTAGCAGAGAAAATCTCAACAGGAAATTAATGCAAGGTAACAGAACTGCAAAGCAGAGGGTTTGGTTATCCTCAAAACAAGGAGCTGGATAAAGAGAAAGAACACTCTGCTCTCCTGGAGATTTCCTCTGTCCTCTACTCAGTATTTAATAACAGAGAAATTAACTTTAAAAATGTTACCTTTTCTAACTACTTTTGTTTTTCCTTTCCTCTTCCTCATCTTTGCTTTTGCAGAAGTTTCACAGTAATTGCTGTTATTGGAATCACTCTCCGAGTCCGAATCCGAAGAGCGATGGAAGCCGGAGGCGGCTCCAGATTTGGAGCCCCTCACAATCTTAGTGGGCACCAAGCTCTCCCACACAAAACTCTTCTCCTCCTCTCTGGCTTCTGCTTCAGATTCTGCTGTGTCCTCTAAATCACTCAAGACTTTTGCTTTTTTTAAGGGAGGAGACAGCTGCAGCCCAGAGGCTTTCCTGCCATTCCACCTGTCCGGCTCAGAGTCCGCCTCATCCTCAGAGTTGCTCACTGCAGGCTTGTGATGGGCAGGTGTTGACTGCTCAGAAACCTTCTGGCTGCCCCCATCCTCAGAATTATGGCTTTTGGAGTCCTCCTCTGAAAAGTCTAAGGTGGGACTTTTCCCTTTGGGAGACACAGAGCAGACAGAGCCCCTGAGCTTGTGCCCGTTGCTCTGCCAGCTCTTCTGCTTGCTCTGCGCGTCGGGCTCAGAATCCGAACTTCCATTCTCAGACTCGCTGACAAATTTCCTTCGTGGAGCAGAACAACCAGGCTGAGAAAGAGTTTTCCTCTTGGTGAGCTGCTCTCCTATTTCTTTGTCACTCTCAGACTTGAGGCCTGCCTCATCCTCAGAGCCCTCCAGCAGCATTCTCCTGGCGGCGGCCGAGGCGTTGCGGTGCGGCAGCTTCCTGTTCCTGCAGAGCCCGATGCTCTCCGAGCTCGACACCTCTTCCTCCACATCACTCATCAGCCTCAGCTTGTTGGCAGCCACAGCAGCACTCCTGCGTGGGACCTTCCTGTGCCTGCCCTTGCTGTTGCTGAGGGACTCGGATGTCATTGCTGAAGTATTTTCAGAGTCACTTCCATATAACTTTTTCCTGACTGTTTTCCTTGTGTTCCCATTTTCCTGCAGAACTGCTCCTGTAAAGGAAAGCAGAGGTTAATATCTTAAATATGGAACAGCAGCTTTGAAACCCTGTCAAAACAGGGACAGGTTCAACCCACAGACATGCATGAAATATAAGCCCTAGTGACAGTCAGGTGCTTTTGCTGTCATAAATTTCAGATTCATTGTGGTTTTGTTTTTTCTTAAGATATGTTGCAAGTCATTCCCTCTCACCCAGCTCTTGGTTTCTGCCGTTCCCCTAGTCATGAAAAAATCTTTTAAAAAGTTGAAAGTAGTATGTGAGAGCTTCAAAATTAGCACCAGTGTAGCCATGATATTTTCTGAAAAATCCTTTCCTTAGGATTTTTTCTCCTGAGAAGCTGGGAGGCCTCAGGAACAAAATGTAAACATTGATTATCTGCTACTGTGGGATGCAACAGGTGCATCTGTGATTGGTCTCATGGGGTTGTTTCTAATTAATGGCCAATCACAGTCAGCTGGCTTGGACTCTGAGCCACAAACCTTTGTTATCATTCCTTCTTTTTCTATTCTTAATTAGCTTTCTGTTAAAATCCTTTCTTCTATTCTTTCAGTATAGTTTTAATATAATATATATAATAAAATAATAAATCAGCCTTCTGAAACATGGAGTCAGATCCTCATCTCTTCCCTCATCCTCAGACGTCTGTGAACACGGTCACACACCAGTAAAAAAAAAATAATATCTTACACATACAATGATTTAAAAAAATACCAACTTCACTCATTTTTTTATAAATATAAACATAAAAATGTGGGCTTTTCTTGCTGTTGACAAGGCACTCCTGGCCCCCACCTGTCTGTTTCCTCTGAGCCGCTCGGGTGCGGGTCAGCCTGCGGCTGCTGTTCCTGCTGCACACCCCGTTGGGCAGGGCAGAGGGGGACACAGGAGGCCCAGCACAGCCTTTGCTGTCTTCTGAGCTGCTGGAGGAGGATGAAGATGAAGAGGAAGAAGATGAAGAAACCCCAGAACCTTCTATTTCACTCTCTGTTAAAAAAAAAAGCAATTGGCAGTTAGAATTCTAAACAGCTTCCAGTTAAGAGTTACATTTTGCTGATCCTGGAATCTTCAGTTTTCTCACATTATCTTAAAATAAATTCTCATGCCTGAATGTCTTACAGGGATCAAACTGATACCTCAACAAAATCCATATTCATACAATGTTCAGTGACAGGAAGCTTCTTAAACCTGTATTTAAGTTTCAATTAAAATGAAACAGCTCTTTTCAAGCACCAGATTTAAGTAAAAATCACGTTTAAAAAAACCCAAAACACAGAACATTTTCTAACAGATTTTACCAGAACTTGCATTCTTATTCTTTGAAATAAGCTGAATTTTTGCAAGGTGAGGTAGAGGGGAAAAGGGAAAGCTTTAAAGTCTCAGGGAACTTCTGTCATTTGCTAATTGTGGATAGGAAGTTTTGTATAACACATATATACATATATGGGCATAAAACCTGTATTTGATATAGTACCAATTATCAAATACTCTGTAAGAAGTTTTATATAACATATATAAAATATATAT